ACATTTTTCGGGTGCGTCGTTTCTTTAATTCTGGTTCTCAGGACCAGGAAATTTTACAAAAGTGATATTTATAAGAAATTCAGGGAAGATGCTGAAGCGGCAGAAATTGGCATGACTTCCCGTGGACATGGCCGTGACGGGGGAGTTCCGACGGAGGAAGTTCAATCTAGAACTACCGCATGATATGTAGAAAAACTTAGAAGTCACGTGCAGGTGGCATATGCAGGTGTCATATCAGTTACTGTTGATTTGTGTCAGTTAATATGCTAGTATAAACGTGTTTTGTAACTCTTTGTTGGGTGTTCAGATATTTTGGTGTTCTTCAATCTTCTTAAACTCCTCTGTAATTCTCTTGTATTCCAGACTATATTGCAAAGGATATATATCGAAGATCTTTTCTCTTTTGTGGGTTTTTCTTGTACTCCTTTAAATTCTGTTTACTTGTATCATTTGGTATCAGAGCAAGTTCCTGGCATCATGGAAACTCGCTTACAAGAACGAAAGAAACTGATTGATGATGTTGTTAAAACAGCTATGGCTGAGATGGGCGGACATTATGAACAACTACTTAAGGCCATGGAGGAAAAGTATGAAAACCAAGTGTCAGATTTGAGAACTCGAATGTCAGGTCTGAATGTGCAACACAATCAGATCATGGCACAACTTGACACCTCTTCAACTTCTCGAGGATCTCAAATTTATGGGAATTCATCTTCAAATACAGGTATGGGGCCATTTACTTCCAAAACTGCCAAGATAGAATTTCCCAAATTCAATGGTGAAGAATTGAAAGATTGGTTGTATAAATGTAATCAATATTTTAGAATTGATGGTACTCCTGATGAACATAAAGCTCATTTGGCTTCAATAAATCTTGAGGGAAAGGCTATGAAGTGGCATCAATCTTTTTTAGAGATTAAGGGAGAGCAAGTGCTTTCAAATTGGGAGGAATATGTTGAGGGCCTTAAGGCTAGATTTGGTGAAAAGGTTTATGAGGATCCCATGTCTGATTTGATCTCACTTAAGCAAACTGGGACAGTGGAAGAATTCCAGGAGCAATTCGATACTCTTTTCCCTCAAACTGGAATAAATGAAAAGCAAGCAGTGAGTTTGTCCTCAGTGGATTGAGAAGAGAGATAGAAATTTCAGTGAGGATGTTTAAGCCACAAACTCTTTATGATGCTTATGCTTTAGCCTGGCTACAAGAGTCTTCTATTCAGGAGGCACAAAAGTTAGCTTTAACATGTAAACTTCAACCCAGACCAACTGCACCCTTATTACCTACACCGAACACTCCTCCTCGGACACCTAATGCTACTACGAAAACATTCACTTTTACCAACTCTACCAAATTACCTTACCCAAACACTAGACCATCAAAGACCTCTCCCAAACATATTAATCCCCTTACCAAACAAGAGATGGAGGAGCGAAGGCGAAAGGGATTATGCTATTGGTGTGGTGAAAAATTCACCAATGGTCACAAATGCAAAAATATGCAGTTATTTTCCATTGAAGTTGTTGAGGGTGATGAAGGAGAAGAAGGGGAAGTCTTTGAGGAAGCCATAGAAGAACTTCCAGATGACTCCAATCCACACATGTCTGTTCATGCATTATCTGGAGGTAGCAGTGGAGCTTACCGTACAATGAGGGTAACTAGATATGTGAATAAGAAACCTATTCACATACGCATTCATTCTGGGAGTACTCATAATTTTTTAGATGTTAATGTGGCAAAAAGGGTTGGCTGTAAATTACAAGCTGTTGAGGCTTTGAAAGTTGATGTAGCTGATGGAAGTTCACTGGAATGTGTCCATATGTGCCCAGATTTTACTTGGTGGTTACAAGGTAAACCATTTCACACGGATACATTAATTTTACCTCTTGGTAGTTGTGATATGGTGTTGGGAATTCAATGGCTAGAGACCTTGGGTGACATGTTGTGGAATTTTAAGACTTTACGCATGGAGTTTGCTGTCACTGGACAAAAGTGTGTACTTAGGGGATCCTCTCAGGTGTCTTTAAAGATGGTTGGCAGTAAAGGAATGGTGAGAATGCTTAAAAAAGAAGGACAGGCCAGCTCAATTCATTTATGTAGTCTGATTGTTGATGCTATCGGAGGACGTGGCACTTGGCAAACTGAAGAAAATAAAGCTGAAAATGCTTCTAATAAGGTTTCAACTTGTTCTGAATTGGAGAAATTATTATTAGAGTATGCTGATCTCTTTGCAGAACCTAAAAGCCTTCCTCCCCACAGAGGTCATGATCATAAAATTTGTTTAAAGGCAGGAACTAATCCTATTAATCAAAGGCCATACAGATATGCAGGAGTACAGAAGGATGTCATTGAAAAGATGACTCAAGAATTGTTACAAACAGGTATCGTCTAGCATAGTGTAAGTTCTTTTGCTTCACGTGTAGTTCTATTTTAATAAAAAAGACAAAATTTAAATCATCATCTATACGATTTTTTTTTTTCATGGGATGCCCATATTTAGTAGCAGTTTTGACAAGTGGGTCTTACCCTAGTACTAAGGGTAGTGATATGCGCTAGCGGTCCCGATTTGGTGGTGATATATATCAAATATGTTGACGCATGTCAAAATTTAAATTTTATTGAAATATTTATAATTTTTAAAATTTTCTCTTTGTTAAAAAAAGAAAAGAAAAGAAAAGAAAAGAGAGTAATGATACAAATATAGAATACCCAATATTTGAGGTGGAACTCCATCATACGGCTCATTAGGTTGCGCTCTCCAATGAGGAGGGGTGATGCTCATCCTCATCTGAAAATCGAATTCTCAGTTTCTAACAAACAACTAACCTAACTTACTAACCATTGTTCTTGTCAAACAAAAAATATATATATATTTGAGGCGGAAATTTAAGATTAATAGTTTTTCATAGATAATATTATTAAATAAGTTAATATATAAATATTACAAGTTATTATAAAACAAAAAATTTAATTATTAAATAATAAAAAATTTAATTTTTAATATTTTAAATAAAATAACTTATATCATATTATTATTTTTAATTTTATATCTTGATTATTATTATTTACATCGATAGAATAGATTCAATTATTGTCCAAGAAATAAATGAAAAAGAATTAAAAGATAATTTTTTTAATAAATTTATGTATTATTTAAATAATTAATTTTTTTATTTATTTAAAATTTATAAT